TACACCAGCCAGACACCAACCAAACAACCAACCAGACAACCAACCAAACAACCAACCAGACAACCAGACAACCAACCAACCAGTGCATCTCTTTGAGGTTGCCAGACCTCCTGTTTCTCGATGGATGATCCGGCTCTCTTCGACTATTCGTCACCACACCACCAACATCGTAGGCAACTGTGAGGATGGAGAAGATGGATGAATGATGAACTATTATTAAAAGATGGAAAAATAGCAGAGATATGGCTGTAGCCTACATGGATTAACAGTTAATTGAGAAATAAACAACCCTTAAACCCGTTAACTTATAATAAAAAACACTGGAACACAACAGAAAGCATTTATAATTCAAAAGCATTGCAATGTACGGAAAAAACAAACACAAAACACACCAACAACACATCAACACAACAATAACAACAACAATAACAATAGCGGAACATCAACAACACGACAAACCATCTTCAACTCTTCGATTGGAGCCAAAGCAGCCATCAGCAGAGAGGTAGAGCAGCATGACACCATTGCCAGGCAGTTCCTTGAAGCCGGATGCCAGGAAGGTGAGGAGTTGGCTGATGGTGGGTTTGTACAGCAGGTACTTGTGTGGGTTTTCTCGTTTTATTAGGCCTGATGTGTCCTGAAATGCGTGTGTGTCTGTGTGCGTATGTGTGCGTGTGTGTGTGCGTGCGTGTGTGTGCGTGTGCGTCCTACGGTGTGTTCGTAAGTTTAGGTGGGTACATCACATTACAGTACCTAGATCGGTGTAATGCAGTGTAATTGACATTTAAAAAATTATGTAGAACAAGGCGTAGGATCATAACAGCCATCAGGACCCTCTCAATTACCCCCATCAATTCAACACAATCAGCAGCAGACTCAGTAGCATAGTAAGTCACTAACGAAAGGTGTCTTGCCGGGAGCAGGTGACGTGTCGAAGAGCTGGTTGGGTGTCTCCTCCTGGGGCTCCCTCTCCAGTGTCTGCAGGATCCGGAACATATCCAATGTCAAC